TTAAAAGATATTAAATTAGAATAGAAAAAAAGAAGAAAATAGTACGTCACGATTAAATTAAAAATGAATATAAATGAATGAAATGTATAAAATATTATTAGCACAATTAAATCTAATAATTAAAAAAAATATAAATTTTGAACAAGTAACTTGTATGCATAAAACAAAACCGACTTCAATTCTCATATAAAAATTTAAGAGTACCGTTCATTTCTTTATGATCCAATCAATGGACCTAGACCAAATTAGTATGGGACCAACTCTGAGGTACTATATTTCCTTTAAAACAATTATTATAGAAATCGGTTAATGTGGTAACATACATACAAAATATATTCCGACGAACTTATAACCTCCTCCTTTTTTTGAAGTCGGCTATCAAGAAAAAGCTATAGTATTCGCGGCCCGAGGTTTCCAATCCGGATCCTTCGAAATCTCATCTCTGCTTTCTGTCAAAATAGTTTTGTACGAGTGCTGCCAGAACCTTTCCAGAGGAAAAGCTTAAAGGGCAAACAATTAAAGCTAAATCAAAATTTCAGTTATGTATGTCTAGAAAAATCTAGAGATATAAATTAACAATTTATATACTTTATGTTATTACAACTTCATAGCAGTACCAGTTAAGTTCAATTGATAAATATTTGTAGGGAACAACTTATTTTACACATATTTAAGAGAATATTTTTCGCAGTCTCACAAAATCCGGCAATTTCGGCTGCTGGAGCGCACAGAGGAGTATACTTTTGTATCTTTGAACATATTATTTCTCAAGCTACATATGTATAAAACCCATCTACCAACTGGCAGTCATAAAAGTCGTCACCGCTACTTGATCTTTCATATAAGTATGGCCGTCAAGTAGAACACAGCCCTTATTGCGATATTAGGCTTCTTTATCCTAAAAACCCCTAATTATGATAAAGTTTCATGCTTTATTTTATTACTGAGTATAAAAACATACATACAAAATAATTTAGACCGCTTTTACTATGTAAATATTCCTCTGCGGTGCGCCGCGAGAAAAATTACATATTTATTCCTTTCGCGGGGGATGAAACGGCTGACTACAACGCCAACTGGTATGATGCTACTAGTATTACGACTAGGTAGTTCTGATGCGGTAACCGACAGTTGACAACCCGTATGACATCGCCATGTTAAAAATACCAGCCGCTAACATTGAAAAGGCATAGAACGTTAACTAGTTGTGCTGAAACGCAAACTGGTAGCATTCTAATTCACAACTATGCATGTATTAGCTTTTCCTGCAGGGTTATTTCACAAGCGCACGCACGCAGTGCGGTGCCGGATATCCCGAGCGCCATCTAGCGGACACTAGGTATTACTAAACGGTGTTTTCTGCTAACGCACGCTTCCTCTGTTATTTTCCCTGTTAGTTAATGTTATTAACAGTAAAAAGAGAAACATTTACTTATTTATAACAAAAATACAATTTCTCAGTAAAAAAATAAAAAATATATGCCACATGTACATTAATATATATGTATGTCTAGCTATATAAATATTAGTATTGTTGAAATATACCGAATGAAACGATAATTTTATAAAAAATTATAAAGGTTACCTCAAACTTTCGTTAATTACACACATAAAGGGTGATTTTTTTGAGGTTAGGATTTTCATGCATTAGTATTTGACAG